ATATATATATATATATACATTTCTTCTTGATAATGTCTTATTTGTTTTAATTTGCTTAGAAAAAAAAAGTTTTTAGTTTTTTAATTTCATTTTTAACAAAATTATTAGCCCTTTTAAGCTATATTTTTTGTAGTCTTCAGAACAAACCATCGCTATACAAAACTTGCCTAATTACCCTAACCTGCCTAGTTGACTTAACTAAGCCAGTAAATGTCACTTTAAGCTGTATTGAAGTGTCTTGAAAAATATCTAGTAAAACATTATTTACTGCCATCATGACAAAGATAAAATAATTCAGTTATTAGAAATGAGTTATTAAAACTATTATGTTTAGAAATGTGCTGAAAAAATTTTCCCTGTTAAACAAAAATTGGGGAAAATAATAAACAGGAGCAAGTAGTAAATATAAACAGAGAGAGAGCACAAAAATTTGATCTTTATTAAATAATTCTGATGGGAAAAAATATTCTAATGCTATTGTAGAATAAATTAACGTATTTATATTTCGATAAATCAACTAGAATAATAAAATGCCAGTAAACACTCACCGGCCACTTTATTATGTACACCTTACTAGTACCCGGTTGGACCCCCTTTTGAGTTCAGAACTGCCTTTCTTCATGGCATAGATTCAACAAGGTACTGGAAAAATTCCTCAGAGATGTTGGTCCATATTGACATGATAGCATCATGCAGTTGCGGCAGATTTGTTGGCTAAAAATTCATGATGCAGTTCTTCCAAAGGTGCTCTATTGGATTGAGTACTGGTGACTGTGGAGGCCATTTAAGTACAGTGAACTCATTGTCATGTTTAAAGAGCCCATATTATACATGAAATAGGGTCATATCTTGGTTGTAAGGGTCTCCAACAACAGTCTAATATGCATGCAAAGTCAAAAAACACTTTCATGGTCTTATAATCTGCATTTATTTTTACCTAATTATCCCAGCGACTCCTGTATGAATCGTCCAGTGATTCATTTGTTCCCAAACCCCTCCTTAGCGCGAAGCTAATCTGCGCTGATTGGACCGATGACAGCCTGTCACGATTGGTCGACTGCCTTCAGTCAGAGAATGAAATGCCCAATAGCTAATCAGCAATATAAAAGTAATCACAGTTCATACGCGCTCCATAGTGTAGGCGTGGATTTTAGCTGCCACACACACACACAAACACACACACACCTCTGGACGACAACGCTCCCGCTTCCGCCCGCACCCGCCAGGTTTTAGCCTGAACCCGACCGCTCCCGCTTATATTTAGAATTTCTTGTCCCGGTGCCCGAACCGCCCCGTTTTCTGCCCGCCGCGCCCGATCCCGCTAAAGAGCGGGGGAGAACATAACCGAAAATCACCCAGCAAAACAGTCCAGAGACAGCCAGACAGAGCTCGCTCTCTCTCGCTCGCGCTCTCTCTCTCTCTCTCTCTCTCTCTCTCTCTCTCTCTCATACGCGCGCACTAACACAAACACACAAGCGCCAAGCAGACACACAGGCAGGCAAAGCTCTGTCTCATTCGCATAGCAATATCCACGATATTGCTAGACAGCCCGCTCCCGTCCCAAATTAAACCAGTTACCGACCGCTCCCGCGATTGATTCCGAAATTTATTCCCGCGCCGCAGAAATCTGGCGCGGGGACAGCCGCGGGAATGCAGACCTCTACCACGGAGCTCCGTAAACAAACAGCACGCGTCGCGTTTTTAACGTGACTTTGCACGCGATAAGAGAATATAGCCAGTTAACCTGATACAGTACACGCGGTTACAAGTAACAAATCACAACTAAATACATTTGCAAGCTAGAGTCAACGAGGCAACTTTAATCGCACGTACTTACACTTGAGAAATGGAGGAAGAAACTCATCCTGATGTCCGTTAGTAAGTAACTCTTTACTGATCCTTACTTTAACAAACGCAGATGAAGTATTCTTTGTAGCCTGTAGTTTCCAGAATTTTCCAACTGCTTGGTTATAATGCTGAGGTTTCATCTCTGGGTAGAGAATCGATAATGTCCATCTGCAGTGTGACTTCAATCGACCGGCATGTTTGTGTGTGTGTGTGTTTGTGGGTGGGTGTGTGTGTGTGAGTGTGTCTGGGTTTCTGCGCCAGAGGGCGGGGCCTCAGGTTTGAAATCTCCCGGGTTTGCGCGTGCACGTGAATAACTTGGTTTCGTTCGTACGTCATGGCGAAACACCTAATGAATCGGTATCAAGGCGACTCGTTTGAAGCACTATGAGTCGACTCTTTTATAGATGAATCAACCGTTTTAAACACTGTATTCTTACAGATTTAAGCCTTAGCTGGATACTTCACTTCACTTAGAGCTGTGTTACACACTACATGGAGGGGAATTTTCAAAAACCCATAATATGGGCTCTTTAAGAAACCAGTTTGAGATGATTCGCACTTTATGACATGGTGCGTTCTTCTGCTGGAAGTAGCCATTAGAAGATGGGTACACTGTAGTCATAAAGGGAAGGACATGGTCAGCTGTGGCGTTGACACGATGCTCAATTGGTACTAGTGGACCCGAAGTGTGCCAAGAAAATATCACCCACATCATTATACCACCACCACCAGCCTGAACCGTTGATACAAGGCAGGATGGATCCACGCTTTCGTGTTGTAGATGCCAAATTCTGACCCTAACATCCGAATGTCGCAACAGAAATTGAAACTCATCAGACCAGGCAACTCTTTTCCGATCTTCTATTGTTCAATTTTGTTGAGCCTGTGCGAATTGTAGCCTTAGTTTCCTGTTCTTAGCTTGCAGGAGTGGCACCCGGTGTGGTCTTCTGCTGCTGTAGCCCATACACCTTAAGGTTTGATGTGTTGCATACCTCGGTTGTAATTAAAGTTTATTTGAGTTACTGTTGTCTTTTTTATTAGCTTGAACCAGTCTAGCCATTTTGAGCAGATTGTCTTGACCATGTCTAGATGCCTAATTGCATTGAGTTGCTGCCATATGATTGGCTGATTATAAATTTGTGTTAACAAGCCGTTGGACAGGTGTACCTAATAAAGTGGCCGGTAAGTGTATACCATAATTATATAACATAGAGCCAATCAAATCATTCATTAATTTATTCATAGGACATAAAGCATAATGTGAATCAGCTGTATCAACTGATGCCACAGTATTGTGCACCGTTCCAAATAAAAATTTTAGCTATTTATTTTTAATAATGTGGTATTAGCTAAGGCTGTTGAATTCCCGGTGATGCATCACGCTCTTTATTCATTGTTAATTTGTGCTATTAGTATATATAATGGTAGGAGCAACAGAGCTGCAAATACAGCACAAATAACATCAACAAACAAGCTTCTTGATAACAAATGTCATTTGCTTTGACATGCCTATTACGATCCTTATAAATACAGGCTGATGCTGTAGTTCATGGGCACGAGTTTATTGGTCGGCGTAAAGAGGAGAGTAATGATTATTTGTGCCATTCACATTAATGGCACTGGGAAATGAATCCTGATGATACCAGTGAGCAAACTCCCCGCAGACCAATTACAAAGGTTCACAAGGTTGTTCCTCATATGCACAATGACTTTTTAATGAGGCTTTGCCGTAGCCGGCCAAAATATTGCTTTGCTTGTTTGGTTGCTGTCTGCTTGTGGAATAGAGTATAGTTTGGCCATTGGGGAAATGACTCACAAATTACTACATTTCAGCTGTCAGGAGCCTACTGTAAGTCATTAGCTCAGCGTTTGTTCTATTTAAATGAGAAATGCAATGCTTGTCATGATCCGAGGAATAACCGGCGGGTTTAGATGAAGTTCAGAGTTGTCAAGTCTGCTTACAGTATGTGAGTTTGGAGCTAAAGTACACTTGTTATGCCATTAATGTGGAGTTCAGACTGCATGATTTTAGCCACGAGTTTGACTTGCCAACAGGATTCGAGAAATCACCAACAAATTTCTGAAATCACAGGCAAATCGGATCTCGTTCACGTAAGTAACAATCACAAAGTTTGAACTATCAAAGATGTAATCTGAGAGAATCGGCGATGAGTCGCTGACACCCGTGAGATATTTGCATTGGCATGCTAAATATCTGAACCTTTCAGCGATTTAAAATCATTCCGTGTGAAATGTGTTCTGATTGAAAATAACATC